TAATATCCTGATAGTACCCCTTATGATAGGGTTAACCTTTATTGAATGGTAAATAAGGGACATAGTCTTCCAGACCAAATATCTCAGTTGATGAGATTTAAAGAAGAAAATTATAAAAGCATTTATCTAAAATTAAATAAATAAAAACTATTTTTAAATATTAATTTTAATGGAAATTGCGTTATTTGGAATCCTGGAGGAATACATTCATACTTATCCCTCCTAGTTAAATCAACTGATAAGTTTTTGACAACTGTGCAAAAAAAATGTCCTTTATTCATCCAATAAGGAGGAATTGCACAGAGTGATGTCGAAAAAACTAGAAATCCAGTATAATAACCTCGTTCATTAAATCTCATAGTAAAAGTCTTCTATTTTAGGTCACAATACCTATTCGAATAAACAAACTCGAATTATATCCGATAAAAAATAATGTAGCCTATGTTTTACAAAACTTTGATTTTAGGCCTTTAGTACAAAATGTAATATTCTATACAGTCCTTTGCCAACTGACCATCACTGAAACACTGAAAAATCAAAAAGTTAGTCGAATTCAGACTTGTTACAAATCTTAATAATAACTAGTACCTTAGGCAATAAATAACATTACAAATCTAATGGTGGTACACTAAACTTCTTTTCAATTTAAAATGTATTTTAGGTACAATACAAAGATGTTGGAATACAACACGAGCATCAGTTGAGATCAATCTGAGAGCAATAGACGTATAAACGCCATTGTCAAGGGACCTTTCCTTTCCCTTGAAAACGTCTGACCTTTCCTGCTGCTCGATAACACTTCATCGTTATCGACTCTTTATCGCGATTTTTGGGGAAGTTCCGATTTGTTTTGTAACTTAATTCATTGTATTATATGTTTTACACGGAGTACTGACATGACTATTGCCAGTATGTTGTTACTGACTAACTTTAACTTGTGTTTGGTCGATACATCATTGCAGTCTCTTACTTGCAACACTGGTAAAAATACAACTTCAAATCTTTACTGGACCAAAGGTATGCAATATGCATGAAAACTGTTGTATATTGACTTGCATTACTTTTACATTAGTGTTTAAAAAAAATTCAGTATGAGTTTTGGGAGGAAATCCAAGATTTCTAAAGGAAAGGAAATTTATTTCCGAAGGGTGTACATCAGAAATGTGTGTCTAGAGGGGTACGGAGCTTTAGAGTACGCCTGTGGTCCGATTTTGACTAAATTTTGTATGTTAGTACCAATCAATGGTATCTCCAAACATTTTTTTAATTTTTTGTAAAAAAAAATTATTTGTGAAGGCGATTTTCCTATAAACCCAATAAAATAACGAAAAATTGGATTAAAGAAGCGGCCTTAACGAGTTTGATTAAAATGTAGTATGTTATGGACCCTTTAACTCTTAATAAAAAGGCACAACCCCTAATGCTGTAAAAGTTGCGATTCAGAAAATATTGTAATTTTGTGATTTACTCAAAGGTCATAGTTACACCTGCCACTTGCTCATAATAAAGGTTGTTAACAATTGGGAGAAAGTAAGTCTCAGATTGCTGATACCGTTATTTTTATTCCTACATCAACCCATGATGATGTGAACTGGCTTGCTGATTGCTGTTTATAAATTTATAAAACAACTTTGATTAAAAGATAATCACACACAACTAATTATCTATAATCCATGAATTTTCACATTTCCCGAGTCCAAGAACAATTTCCTTGTCCGATTTCGTCAGCTGATTGCCATTTATTCCATTTCCGGAGGTCCGACGAATTCTGATTGGTTCTCCTCTATATCGCTAATTGATTTCGTTCCGATTCGTCGCGGACGTGTTCACAATTTGCGATCTTTTACCGTAGCTTATCGTACATCTATGCAGTGAAGGTAAACTGAACTGAAATTACGAAACTTTGAAATAAAAGTTTTATTCATTTCATTGTATTAATATGTTTTATCACAGGTTTTACTTCTGCACCCAGGTAAACGTGGGTAAACAGTGTGGTTCAATCCTGGGAATATTTGGTACCTTTTTGGTGTTTCGAAGGTGGACCCAGCTGTCCTTGGTCATTGTGCTTTTAACATGGCTAATGAAGCAGCTGATCATCAGTAACAAAGCTACACAAGGCATATCGCTTCATTACACACCCATTCTTCATATTTGGGTTAAAATACACACCCTAGGTAGCGTCCCCATCTCAACTGGCAACACCAGGTTAAAACTAGGGTTTAAAATGAAAGAAATCATGAGTGAAACAAACAGCGAATGACGATTTAACTAAACCGAAGTCAATTTATTTGTGCTAATATACAATGGCACCCTACGAAAGGATGTTCCAAAATAAATACTTCAAGTTTTTAATGATTTACTAAGAAACATTTACCGATTCAAGCTAATACTATATCCTTCCCGTTGGACTTGGAAGTGGCCTACTGATATCAAAATCAAACAAAAACCATTTAAACGTGCAAGATAAAAAATAAAAATCATTAGCAACACCCTTTGAAGTATTTATTATATATTTACAGTATTTTGTAAAAGATAATTTTGTATGAGAATGGTTAAGTAAAAGTTTTTTACGGCTGAAACAAAAAAAATCATGGATTAGCAAAGCTATAACAGGGTACTTTGTTGTATGCAAGCATTTCACTTCACAAAATGTCCAATGAACTAGATGTATAAAAAATGCATAGATGAGTGTGTATTTGTGTATGTATAAATTGATGAGGTACAGTAACAAATGACTGTAATATGGTAATACATAGACCGCCCTGAGGTGTTAAATTAAATATATTTCAAATTAGGGAAAGTATCATTCAGACTAATATTTTAAAGATTAATGCACGAGAAAAATTAAACCGCTATTACGGTCTGACTGTGGTTAACATCTAATTTAATCCGCATTAAGTTGTGTAGTGAGAGCGAGAGAGAGTTTAGTCGGGTTGAAGGATAAAAGTAAAGCCGGGCTCAAAGGATTGTTGGCGAGGCGCGGTGGCGCGGTGGCGCGGTTTTGAGTGTGCATACAACTGGAGACTTTTCACTAATGAGGTCACTGACATCTGTATTTACATTGCAAAACATCGTCAATCGATGTGATATTGTACTAGGTTTAACGTAGTGAATGGACTCTGAAATAGAAGACAAGACTACTGTACTATGCAGTTAGTACAACACTATTACAGTATTAAGAACTAAAAGGTATACAAGTGAAAATTTTAAAAATTTATAAAATTGATTTGCTTGTAAATTATAGGGTAAGTCATGTAACATAAGATTGATCCATATAATTCAACATTTCTAAAAATTAGTTAATTGTACACCCGGAACTTGTAAGTAAACTCATTTCAATTGCCAAAATAATATTATTTTGTATTTCAAAGATTTGGTTTAAGAGGTAAAACATATTAGTTTTTAGGGTAATAATCTGCTAAAATCTCTCTTTTGCATAGATGGATCGAATTGATTATCAATTTATAAGGTTGTTGGTAACAGCCGAATTTCATAAAAATTAAATTTCAATTATCAACTTTCAATCATTGAGATGGGGACGTGAATAATTGGCAGCTTTTGAAATAGAAGAGTAGGCCTAATCTTAGACAATGATGACAAGCTAATTGTTGTAAAAGTCGATTGTTGTAAAATATGATTGGTTTCTTGTAAAGCTGATTAGATTTATGTAAAAGCTCATTGTTGTAAAAGCTGGCTGGCAAGTCTAAACGTTAAACTAAACATGTTTTAAAACATGAACAGCTGATTCTTAAATTATCATTTTTTATAGCTTAATAAAAAAAAAAACCAATGGCCTTAAAAACGCACCCCTTTCAGTAAGATGGGTATATGTAATGAGGCACACAATTCAAACCATAATACAACCAAATAAACCAAACACTTACATGCACCGAAAAGGTAAAAAAATATTCTAAAACTACCCAATGTCACTAAGAGCCAAATTTCTATCCCAAAGTATTTTCGAACCAATCAATTTCTCCACGTATTCCATGAGGAAGTGCGCATCAGTCGTGGTCCGCGACCAACAATAGTACAATCACACAAGATACATTCCTGTGTGTGCGAACGATAGATTGTCCCAGGCCCGCTATCGCTCACCATCCCGAGTCATTTCTCAGGCTTATCAGCTGATAGCTTCAAGAAGACTGCAGACGTCTACAGATAAGCTGTCAAAGGTCTACGGTCTACACCAATAGTCCATTTGCCCCGGTGGGGTTTCCAGTTTAGGCCATGTGGTGAACCTACGTCTGACTGAGGAGTTTGAAAAATGTAGCACAAGTTTCTAGAGTAAAAGTAGTTATTTTGGGTTTCAATAGGATTTTTTTCTATCACGAAAATTGTAGAGTTCGTTTTACTATCATATAAGTCTAATGAGAAAATGAGACAAGTACTTCAGTACAGCAGTGTGTTTGGTTTTCATTCAAATTAATTAGGATAACAACCCAGTCCCAAAACATAATCTGTGGAAGCCGCAAAACTGTACGTACACCAGCAAAAAGAGTGCCAGTCACAGTAACTCTAAGAAGTATTGGTGCCAGGAAGCTTTACGTTGAATTTTTCTTTTAGAGGTTTCCCTATAATTAAGTCAAATAAGTCTTTCCAGAAATTCGCGAGAGCTAAAACTTAAATTTGTCTAGAAAATTAAAGCGATTCCTGAAGAAATGTTGAAACTAATATTAGAAGGAATTTTCAATCAATTAAAAATGAATATCAAATGGTACGAGGGCGTCGCTTGAAGGGCGGTGTTTTAGAGAAATTGAAAAATTAGTCCGTAAATTAAAAAAATATAAGTTAAGCTGTGCTATTTATACGAATAGGATAAATAGTATTCGATTTGTATTATGTATAAATTGGGACGCTTTCGTTGCATCGTCCTGTAACTAAAGATTAAATTCACAGCGAAGATGGTAAACTTACCAAAGATGCTTTTCAATACCTCAATTTGAACTTTTATGTACCTAAAATTACAAAATAATCTCCTAGTAACCACAACTCAAAATCCCAAGTCATGAACTGATCAATCGCACATCAAACATGATGGAAGTGGACACAGTCTGTCACCCTTGCCAACCCACTATCGCCCAGAGGGGGAACTTCTTCAGTGACCAATACTTCGAATCAGCGAGGAGGACCTTGCAAGAGCTAATGGCTCAGATGCAACAAAGTAGAAACCAAGTAAACTTCCCCCCGGGCAGGATGGATCAGCTGTTGGCAGAACTAGGCGCTTGGCAACAGAGTGGACAGACGATGCATGCAGCCATGAGCTCCATCAAACATGACAATCTGTTCGCCACTGTGTTCAGATTCGAGCCTGAATGTTTAAAGGTAGGTGTAGCTAGGTTACCATTGTATAACAAATACAGTAGTTGGTAAAATGAGGCTGTAATTGTTAATGAAAGGGTGTGTTTGGTCTGTTTTATTGTCTTTCAATTCGAATTGCAAAGTCTAAACGGTATTGAGAAAGGTTGTATGGGTTGGTTACCGTTATTCAACAATGAGAAATGCCGTGTTACCTATTAAATGCTAGTATGTATATATTTCTGTTTTACTGAAAGCTAAGCAAAAAAAAAAAAAATGGACCAGGTAAATTAAGTTTGACACAACTTCGCAAAGTACTCGTATTACAAATACAATTGTTTTCTTCGGCTCAAAATCTAATGTGTTTTTATTCATTTCCTCTTCCACTATTTAGAACAGTTTACATTATTACCTTTAGTATTTCTTAAACATTTTCGGCAAGGCACAGACACTATACATTTTTTAGTACAAAAGCTACAACCGTCGCGTCATGCACTTACTCTGGTTGACACGAAACTTTTAGGTACTTAAAAAATCAGAAATTAAAAACTACATCCACCAAATGTCAAATTTACCGCAAGCAAAAGAAAGTTACTGTGTTTTGTACACTACCTAAAAAAATTCCAAATTCATAATTCGCTACGAGAGAGAGTAACGATGATGATTTTCTCGTGATCATGGGAGATGTTCCAGATTTTGCCGCGATCGCGAAGCAATTCCACATTAATTTCGCCTAGGTCCACAAGTACTGTAGTGTCCAGCATCGCATCCACTAACACAACTGAAAACACGTTTCAAATCACAAATCATTTCCAGATGCTGGTCGACGTGAAAGGGTTTCAACCGTTCAACATCAAGCTGAATGTTCACGACGAGGTGGTTGAGTTGTCAGCGGTCAAGGAGGAAGCCTCAGCCGCACCGACGCCCGGGGGTCAAAACTGCGTGGGCTACATGAGCAGAAACATTGTCAGGAAGTACATGTTGCCCCAGAGACTGGTCAAGGAGTGTGTGCAATGCTGTCTGTCAGCTGATGGGGTCTTGTTCATCAGCGCGCCTTGGCTCAGATGTTAGATAAATACATTAGTGTATACAATAATACTATACAAAAAATACTTGATCAGTGTTTACTTGGTTTTGTGTTTCTACGTCATAGGATGTATTACGTGTGGGACCGGTCTAAACCCTGGCAGTTTTCCTATCTGACATCGACCTTTCGTTGGGTAACCCTAGAATTAACACTGCTTGGTATCGAACTGGCAACCTTCAGACATGAAGGTGAGCACTAAACCAACTCTACTGAGTGTATACAAAATCAGGGGACTGTTTGAATTTAAATTTAAATTAAAATCTTCACAATCAAGCATCCTGCTTTGCGTTGTTTTCTGACTGGAAATAGTTCATGATAGGATAACAGGAAGGGGTAAAATTCATTAATTTATTAGGTATACTATCGTGCCATTAATGATTGCAAATGGAGCCAAAGATAAACCATTGGTTTATACGGTAAGTAATTGCTGAGAAACTACTGTTTGTGCAACAAACAACCATGAAAGATACAGTGATAAATATATAGTATTGCAAATATAATCACAGTGGTGCAGATACAGTAATGCTAATACACTTATTATAAGGCACAAATTATTGCAGAAGGCTTGAACAAAAGAGGTAATGTTTCGTTTTTTTCAGGTTAAAATTGTACAATTATATTCAAACCTAGTTCAGGCTAGGTTAAGTTAGGCCGAACTAGGCAAGAACTAAGACCAAACCCAAAACATAAATACATAAAAACGACATCTCAAACATAACACTTAAAAAATGTTGCAAAGAAGTAATGTGGCATCAATTCAGTACTGACTCACGTTGTCCAAATATTCGCTGAAACTGATAAGATGAACCTGTTCTATAATAATTATAGAGTATCAGGTTGCAATGGGATATCAACAGTGATAAGAAGCGGTCCAGCCGAACAGTGAAAGCTATCAATGACTTTCTCACAGGAGGAGGCGTGTCTATCAAAACTGTGGCCTTAAGGCCAGAACTCTCGCGTCGCCACAGGCCTCAGCTTAAGTGACGTATCGTGCTTGTAGAAACTACAAAGTAGGTGATGAGCCAAGTTCCTTTCTACGTTCACTTTCAGAGCTAAAAGAGTAGTTTACAAACTAGAAATGGAACATCCTGTCTAAAAAATAATACCGTTGGTTAACCTATGTTAGGCTAAGTTAATGTTGTTTGTACAACAAGGTAGTCATAGTCAAGTCAGTAAAGTGATGCTATTTTTGTTACACATTCCTACATAACGTCATCTCCACATTGTCCCCATAATTTTGTTCCTTGAACTATGTTTGTTACGAGCTGTTTCACTGTTTTAATCATAAAAGTTCTAATTAAATTACTATAAGTGCGAGATATCTGTAAATCCTTTAGGACAGACTTGCAATTTTGTAATGTAATATGAAATTTTTTAAATAACACTAGATCAAAAGACTTCATACTAAAACAGAGAAAGAGTACAGTTTTTTTTTTGTGAATCTACCTATAAATTATTTAAAAATTGTTTAAAATGTAAGGAGTTAAAGTTCTTATACCAATCATCACCGCAGGAAAAAAGGCGTTGAAAAAAAGGACCATTATAGTTTTAAATGTCTTTCAACATATTTAATACATAAGCACGTTGAAACAAGACTAAACGTCCTTGTCCAATTATGTATACACGTTATTGAAAAAACTTAGTAGCCTAAGTTTACAAGTTGGTGTATGAAAAACACAGCGGCCTGACTGTGTCAACAAAGAGAGGATAGTTAAAAAAATATCAATAGGCGGTCAATCAAACAATTTACAATGAAAATCATCTTGCCACAGCATACAAATTTCTTTAAAAATGCTGGCGAGTTCTTTTGGTCCGTATGCAAAACAACTACAGCGGTCTAATTATTTCAACAAAGCGTTTTTCACATTTCGGTAGGGAACGGTCCAAGCCCTGAGATAGCGCCGCCAATCAACATTCCTCTGTGCCGCGGCCGCAGGTATTTACTACTCTGTGCAAGTCTGGTATTTTACTACTCTGTGCGAGATTGTTTCTCCCACGCGCATTCTACATAGAAACCAATTAGTTTTGGACACGGCAATAAAGCGATTCACCACCAAAAAGAGTAAACCTCGGAGCCTTGACCTTTGGAGCTTCGTACAAATTAATTACCTCGCCTTGTCCCTTTTATCTCGGTTTGCTGAGAGCTTACGCTACTCTGGAGAAGAGCAAAGGAATCCCGCTGAAGACTTTGCTAGCTGAGTAGCTTAGTGGCAACAGTGCTCGTTTGGATTCAGAAGGTCGCAGATACGATCCTGAGAAGGTTACAGACTCTTTTTTGATTGTAATCTTGGACCATAATAAGAGACAAGTAGCCTACTTTCATAACGCTTGGTACTGAGTAAACATATGGGAGAAAAGTTGAATTAAATTTGAGGAAAAAGTGTTGAGAATTACTTATGGACCTTGGAAGATAGAGAATGAAGAATGGAACATGGAAGAATGGAAGAATGGAAGAGTTGAGACAGCTATTTTTGGATCCGGACATGATAGCTGAAGTAAGAAGTAGAATACTGAGATGGGCATACATGTTGTTCAAAGGTTTATTGCGGACATTTTCCATCACGATTGTAAAAAACAATACTCAAAGTTTCAATAGGCCTTCACAAAGGAAAGACAACTCTTTAGTTAAAAAAAGTCTTATTTAACCACACCGAAGAAGAAAGCCAGGAAGGCCATGCCAGAAGACACCTGAGACCTGAGAAGTCTTGAAAGAAGAGAAGAAAAGTTGTGTGTTGGTACCACCTTGGGGACCTAAAGCCACGGTAGTTATATGGACCCAGCTGGTCAAGGCCAAGCCCCCATCAAAATGGGAATAGTTATTGATCCTTGGTGAAGAACCAGCTGATGAAGTCAGAACCAGGAACCAGAAACCAGAAAGAAATCTGTCTGTCGTCATTACATGTTGATTCAACACTAATTTTAAACGTTTCCTCTTAAAATTCACTATCATGGAATGACAACGTCCTATAGATTTTAATATTACCACACAAACTAGTCAGGTTGTCATTTATAAAATTCAAGTAATAATTTACAATGGCCAGCACCAATGTTTTAACATTGCTAATAATAACAATCTGTATAAGAATAAAAAACCTATAGTAAAAATGTTGTTGGATGGTTTAAAGTTGTTTAAAACATACTAAAGCAAAGTTTTACGTCTGAAGAAGGCGGTTTATATTGTCACTTCAACTTTATCATAATGTACAATGAACTCACAAGTGCGCTACTTGGGCAGTGAACAAAAGTATGTTCCCTACTAGGCACTCATACGGTTTTGTCCTGGGCGTTGGGTTTTATTGTATTGTTTCATAACCGAATAAAGTGAAGATAAATATAAGACTCGAGACGCTATCGTCACATTATAATAATTATAGTTTGGAAAACATCATGACTAGTATTGTATACAAAATAACCTAAGCGTACCTTAACTCTGTATGCTGTTTATTGATAAATAACTCCATCTTACCTTGTAGCCTGTATCATTAGCTCCGTGCGGGATCTGAAACGATACGAACACATTTCAATGGTTTGATGAGACATTTTTCATAACTTTTTTTTATATTGGAACACACTTAAAAATATATCAATAAATCTTTAACACATTATGTTTTAATTGAATTTATTTTATTTCAAGTGTTGTAAATCTTTGTGATGTTGGAACTTCTTCATACAATTTGTATTTGATCGCCAAATTTATAAGAACTATAAAGCTTGTTAGACTTAAACACGAGATAGAGTGTTTCATTTTAATAATAATTTATAATAAGTATTTGTAAAGAGTAATCAGTGTAACTTCCAAGGAGTTAATATTTTTCACTCTAAACTTGAATGATTTGTGAGAATAGTAAAAATATTCTCTATCAAGGAAAAGGAGTTTCTCCACACAAAATTTTAAAACAGTGCCCATATATTTTACTCTTAATTAAGCATATACATGAAATAAATTCCGTGTAAAATAACCCACAATATCCAAAAATGACTTAAATAATCAAACTATCGCCATTGCTGTAAAATTACAACGATTATTGAACTTAATGCAGGTAATGAGGATTGCAATGATAAACCACGACTGCATTGAATGGCAGATAAAACGTCAATAAATGCGATCCGATATGAGCGCTCATCCATGGATGAAGAGTTGTGATTTATGAGGTGGGGTATCTGGACAAACGAATCATCTGAGGGATCTCTGCTGATACAACAATCAATCTGCAGAATACCTCACAACCCCTCACTACTCCGGCAGCAGATTATAAAATAATGTTGATTTGAGGCAAGGATTTAAAAATAACCCCCGCCACAGCAAACCTAGAACTAAGCGAATTTTTATGTCTGATTGGATTTACTCAAATGGGTCCTTAAACTTATTTTATGTTTTAAGGGTGAGGAATAGGAAAAAATCAATCCCCTTCCCCCATAAATCCCCTGTTCATACAGTATCATGTTTAATTATATGAATATGAACGAATGGTGTTTTGGGCAGCTGGGGACATAAAAACTAAAAATTAAATCGTTCCCTCGGCTTGGTCTTACCATGAGACCAACGGTAAAATCTTATTACCTATGGTAAATTCGCTAAAAGGATTATGTTTTAGCATCTATAGGCTGTTTGGACATTTCAATGTAATGGCATTTGTTGTGTAGTTAGAAACTCAAAAATCGGTCTAAATCCCTAATTTTTTTATAGACTAGGTTTGAACTCATACCCCCGCACCAAGACGCTAACCTAATAATAACCTACCACATACCAACCATCGTGTTACTAGATCACACTCAAAACTTGAATAAATGCGATGCTGTTATATTAACCACACCTCGATTTTCGGTACCTTAGATTAGGGTAGGATAGTTTAGTAAGTTTATTTGTATGTACAGTATTTTATGTAGGGAAAAAACATACTAAAGAGAGTAAAGTAGAGTCAAACATCCAAAGTTTATTGATGAATACTAAGCCAGAGAAAGTTTTTCACAGTCTGTATGTTACTACGCAAAGTGGAAACACTATCTTGATGATGGTGCAAGACTAACGAAGTTAAACATTTTAGCTTAAAATTTTGATTTACACACAATAATAAACATTTCAGAAAATAATCGTACTTTTTATAAGTTATAAAAAACTAAGTATATATATTACGGGTTTCAATTAAAGTAGGCTTATAATGTTAAGCTAACTCAAAAATACTCAAGTCAGTGAACTATTATTGGCTATAGACGCACGTTATTGCATTTCCATAGGTAGTCCTTGTGCTTCAGTGGAAAGTTTTTTCCGTAAATATTACAACAATCATCTAAGATTAAATTTTAATTTCTCTAATTATACGCATGATAAAATTATCAATTTAATGTTCAATTGTTTATAAAAACTAAAAATATCTGGGATAATATGATTGTCATGAAAGGTATTGTAAAATAATTCCGTTATTAAAAGATAACTTTAAAGGTCACCGTGGGTAGTTCATTTAATATGAATTTAATTATCTACACAGTATCACATGTTAAGCCAACCGCGTTCTCTCGCCGATGTACTAATTATTGATATAATCCTACACTAGAGGATGTAATCCCACCTTACTAAAACTAAATCTCTTTTAATTTCCCCAACGATTAGCGAGGTACCAGAAGGAAAATGAAAATTAAATCGTCAAATGTTGACATAGAGAATATTATTTTTATTACATTGATGTTGTCAAATGTAAAATTTTGATTGCGTGTTTATGTATATGATTTTATAATACTGATTTGAATCCGGGCCACAAAGACTGGTCCGCATACTAATCTAGGGGAAATTTGTTGTACTATTTAAGAGGAATTTAAATGGTAAACTTTTAATTCACAAGTGTTAAGTGTTCTTCAGTGCTTTTTGGGTAGCATTATGTTATTCCGACCACACAATTTTAGGTTGGGTTTGGTTATTTGTACATTACAAAAACGCATTTACATTCATTTAAAAGGTTTAGTTACCCAACCGTGTCTAACCTAGGCTGGTGTGTTATCGGTGCAACATAAGATTATCTCTATGATTTTGCAATTATGATGAATTCTACAGGAGCAGAACTGAGAATAAATTAGTATGCCACAGACTGACAAAATCTATAAAACAAATTGTCATCTTAGCTCTGAAATATACTTCAAAGAGTTATCTTTGACTCTTGGGATTTTATAAAGACTTTTTGTGTGTTTGGTTTGTGATTTATACGCCAATGGCATTATTTTTACTTCCAATGATAAATGAAATCTGGGTCTGGAAACTATCTTGGTTGGAATAGAACCAGCGACCTTTAGGTTTTGAGCGAGCACTGTAGCCACTAGGCTACCCAGACAATTATGCTGCCTAGAAATATCATTTACAACAATTGGCGATTACATATAAATTTTTTGACACCTCTTTAGTAATATATTTAAGGTACATTATTTGCAATTTACTAAGAAAATATTACTTTGTATCAACCATAGCTTCAAATACAATATACACCAACGGATCTGATATTTTAGCCATTAATTAATCTGAGGTGTTAATTGATGTGACAGGGTTTCTGTAATTTAACAGTTTACAGCTTGTTTGAAGGTTTAAAAATGTGTCTACCGCAGTAATTTTCATCTTACAACACGTTTGGCTAAATTCGTTTTAACTTGGTTCCTAAGTACAATTGTAGAGCACAAATCAAAATTTAAATTCAGCGAATCGCAATTCACCTAATTTATTGCCAATGGTGTAATTGTGTTTGGTCGAGTGTGAAATTATAAACAAAATAATAACGATAAATCAAACCCGAACGTAATGAGGGCGCGTGTAGCAGACCGGGTCCAACGCAAGGCCGGGGTGAAATATGGATGGCCTGGGAAACATACAACTGCTACGAACATACAATACAATGTCTGTAGAAGTTCACGTATTATAACAGTGTGTTAAATTATATGTAAGGTAAAATTATTGGTTGCTAAAATACATATTTTTGTCTTATGATGTCTTAGGGTCTAGCTCGGTATCGTTTTTCACATTACTTCAGGCTAGGCCTAGGGGCTGCAGCATTATCACATTATTAAATCCATTTGTGATTGTTGGTATTTGAACTCGGGACCTCAGAGACCAAAGTCCTGCGTTCTTGGATCAGCTAGCAACTGGCTCGAATACATATTGTAACTTCAAAATAATTCAAATACTCAACGCTATTTCAGAAGTCAACATTGTTTAGTGAATAAGGTAGTTTACAAAAAAAATCTAGAACTAATTTACTGCAGATTTATTCCAAACTATGTAGTCATAGTCTATGTTTGGAAAATATGTGCTTGTTTTTAGCTTTTAATTCTTGATAACAATTCAAAGACGAGTTCTGTAAGCAATATACGTAATATAATATTCCAAAAATATTTTTTACATAAAACTTATTGGGTTGTTCGACCAATAAGAAACAATATATCATATTTAAAAATATAAAAAAACACACAGAAAGTTTTAAACCATACGTACACAATACAAAACTACTTTTAAATTTTTAAGTAGTTCTGGTTGGATAAATCATTAGTAGGAAAATTGGAGGTTAAAAAAGGGTATGCAGTAAGTTATATTTTTCCCGATTCCATAACTTTTCTCCAATATTTCTGACATTTATTATCTAGGAATGTTAACGTTAGACAGCTCATGCAATATAACAATATTTATATCATATACCAATAGTTTTTCACTGACTATTTAAATACAATATTTAAGTCGAGTAAGGCTTATGACAACATAATTTAGTTTTTACATAGCTGCTAATGTAACACTGAAAATGCAACCTAAAATGATACAACTGCCTCATACTATTTTTAACAAAAAATATGTCACGGAGTAAAATACGAATAAAGCTGACAACGTTTGCATGTTGTAGTCCCGCGGAGGTCCTTCAGTCGTAATGAATGGACAAGGGGGGAGAGAGAGAAGACTGAATAATGCAGACAATATCAAGAAGACCTCCTGAGGGACTTGGGGTTGGTAATTATATCACTTCATCGATCCTGGAGGGGAGGAAAAGAGAAAAGAAGAAGAAAGTAAAGAGTATTGGTGTAACTATGTAGGCTACTGTACATAAGTGGTGTATATTATGATGACTACAAACAAACAGACAAATCCTTTTCCTTATACGTTCAAGATTTAGGATTTTAGCTCTACTGGAGCAAGTGCATAGAGCATCTCAGACACGTTTTTTGTTATTTTGTGATTAACAACTGGCTCAATAGTAGTGGTTATTATGGTAGTAATATGGTAGTAGTGGTTAGTGTGGTTATTAGTAGAGGTAGTAGTAAAACTATACCAACGAGGGACTTTTGTACCGGTTAATACTGCAAGAATACGATAGAAATACTGTACTTTTAGAGGGTGGGTAATGGTCTAATCCAATTGAATATCATAAAACATATTTTGGAATTTTTTGCCAAACATGCCATTGTATCCATCAGCAAATATTGCAACAGAGTTTGATATCTACACATCTTGAGTTAAATATTTGTAAAATCAGGGTT